CCTGTCCCTTACTGGCAGCTCCCACAATGCAGAAGCAGGGTTCTCCTATCTATGCACATCTCCTATAAATGCACATCCATGCCCTCAGGTACCACATCAGATACATGAGAAATAGAAGGGCATCACATAGGCTGCCTTTACAGCTAACAGGAGAGATGGTTTGAACCATCCTGCTTTGCAAAGACAGTACTGCTACAAGATACCAAGATACAATAACATCAATTTACATATACAGGATCCAAGATCAGACTCTTTGCCTAATGCCTTGGTCTGGTGTCTTGATCTACTCATTGGAAATATGTGGCTTTTCAAAAGACAAGTTCCATGGCCTATTGACCTTATGCTTAACATTTGTTACATACTACATTCTTTTGTTAATGTCGTGCTTGCTCTTGCACCAGGAGCACTCAACAGGATCCTCTCCAAATTTCAGATGGTGCTAGAGGGCTTTTTGAACAGTGACAAATAAAGGAACAAGTGAGGCACCTGGGAGCACATTTCAGGCTGTTGTTCCTTTGCATATACTGAGAAGCCCAGTCCCAAATTAACTGCTGAAATACTACAAGCCTGAGTCTTTATGATCAACATTTGGTTCTACAAAATCTCCAGGCCCTTCCAAAGCCTGTGCCTCCTTAGATTAAGTTCGTATTGATTTAAAACTGATCAGTTATTCAATTATACCTCATAACAAGGCATCTCAACAGCAGCTCTGTGGACTCCCATTACTCATGCCAAGATCGTATTAGGCACGTGCAGCACTGAAACGCGATTAGCTGAGCCCTGTTACTCGGCTAACTCATCCATCAGACAATCAGCCAAGAACAAATTCAGTCCAGATTCCCAGCTGAAGAAAACCAGTGTCACTCCATTGACATCAAGTCTATTTGCACCAGCTGGCTCAAATGTTTCCAATTATCAGCAGATATCATCCATTAATTTGAAAGCCCTTCCCATGCTGAAATATTTCCTATTGTGCTTGTGCTTTCATACTTGCCTGTACCTTGTGCCTCCTAACACATGAGAGTAATTCACTTTGACTGCAGCATCGTGAGAACAAAGGTGACCTCCTAATGCTATTGCCACCAAAGAGGCCACCACAGGCCCCATCACACATCCTGGTTCAGGAATCAATGGACAGATTTCTGCTTCCCCTGAAGGCTGAAAGGCAGGTCAGATTTATACTGAAAACTCACTTTTTCATAGTTGGAGAAAACAATTACCCTAACTATCTGCACAAGGCTTTTAATGTAAACCCTCAGGCAAATCTGGGAGTGCTGAGCCATCTGTGATCCAGGAGCTCTGGAAAATAGTATCTAACCATCGAAGCAAGGCACAGTATACTTGTAGGAGAGTACAGTCAGCTAATGCACAGCAGCATCTCCATGTTAACACTGATAACAGGGAAACAGCCCAGATTTGTCACCATCAGTGCTGACAGATGTCATCACCTTGTAAAAATCACCTACATTATAAAGACCAACTGCAGTTTCTCTAAATTATGTGTAATCTTGCTGATTGAAGTATTTTGTTGCCTAAAATCTAATTATACAGCACATGTACTGTTAGCGTGCTGCAATACATGAAAAACTCCTCTAGGTGAATGTACCTCCATAGTATCTCAGTGAACCACTGCTCACTCAAAAATAGGATTTTGCTTTGTTATTCTACTTAGACTGTACATATCTCTATACAGAGAAACTTACAAATCAAAGTCATCACTAGCACAACACCTTACAAAGGATGTTGCATACGCATACTACTTAGACTTCCCAACAACAAGGGCCATTCCTAATTAATATCTTACTTATTAATGTACATTTTCAAGGAAAGTATCAAGTGAAAAATATTTGAAAAAAAATATGTTTCTGGAAAGAAAATGCATGCCACCAGGCTAAATTTCAAGGAACTACACCCAAACTAGGATTTTCAGAAGGCTAGATTCAGTTGTCCACACATAGGTATCTGGTGCCACCATGATGCCTTCCATATATGAGACTGCCACACTGAGCTGGCATGTATAACAAGGAGTTATGAGACACTTTATCTGTGCTATTCTGAAGTGGTAGCTGGAATCCAGGTAGGGTAACCTACAGCATCTCACATGACAGCAGACCTATTAAGGCCTCTTAAGTACCTTAAATAGATTCCTAAATAAGTGACCTGTTTTTCCTTAAGTCCTGAAATAAAATGTCTTCTAGTAACATCAGGGAAAGCCACAGGAGACCAAGCACTTCAGAAAATCAGGACATTTTTTCCATGTTGGGTACCTAACTTTAGCATCTCTTTTCTCTAATAATGTGAACCTCTTTTAAAAATATAGGCATGTTTTATGAAAAATATCTAGTCTTGGCAAGTAAGTTACCCTAAGCCACTGCTGAGAAATGAGATCCAGCCTGTGATGACAGTCTCTCAGATATATCTGCCTTAAATATTTGGCTTAATTTGAGGCAGCTAAATGGGTTGATTCCAGTCTAGTTAAAATCTGAACCACTACAAATGCCTCATCCTCTCCATTCACAAAATAGAGGATCTAAGATGACTGGGCTGATTACCCTAAATGCTGATCTCTGTAAGTTTTACCTTAAAATAAAACCTAAGTATGCAATGTCTGAGCCTATTTCCACGTGTGCAAGCAACCATAAAGTGGTGCATTTGTATATGACAACATACACATCTTAATTTTCCATGCCAATATTGGGGTAAACCTACTTCCTCCATCGGCTTTGCTGCTAAACAGCACCAGTGCACAAAGTTTTAGGTCCATTTTACACACCAAGAAGTGAATACAAAAGTTCAAGGTAGTATAGAACCTTGGGCAGCATAACCAGCACCTATGCATCTCTGTTCCAGATGATGCATTCGTTAAAATACTTCAAAATTCCATCTCTACATGGTATTTCAATAAAAACAAAACCTACTACTAATTTTCGCTCACTAACCTTTGTCTTGCACCAGTATTTCCAGCTCTTCCCGAATCCCATCATACCAGCTGCTGATGTCCACATGGAGAGAGTAATCACAACAAGATTTGGTGTCAGCTGCCTCATGCCACTTCTCAAAGGAGGTCAGTAAACTCGATCCTGGTTCTGGAAGCACGTGGTCAACTGAAAAAGAGATTCAGTGTCCATCCCCTGGACAGCACGCACACTGTTAGGTTCCCTCAGTGCCTGTAAAAAGCTTTCCAGCATCTTGGCCAAAACAGCAGCTTTGGAGGAAGTCTGTATGCAGATTGTAAGGAACATTAAGCTAGGTCCTGCTGCCTCACATATAGCAGACTTTATGGACAGCCTATTCTAAGGCTGAGTCTAGCAACCTGCTTGGTGCAGCATCAGTAGACAAACAGTGGGAGAGGCAAACACCTCAGAATTTAGGAAACTGTTTTTCCCTTTACTGTTTTGTAAGACCACAAGTTCTGGACTTACCTGTATTTATTGTCTGATGTGTCCATTTTAATGTATTTCACACTAAGCATTGTAGTCACTGAATTGGCCCACTCTGCCCAATTAATACATCGATGCAGATGTTGAATGTTTTCTCAGAAGCCAGAATTGGCAATCCAGTCAAAAGTCTGAACAGAGGTGATGCAGAGCACACACACTCAGCCACACTATATGGCAGACTGAGTGCTCTGCAACCGTGCATCTTTACTGTCTCAAGCCTTTCTGCATCTGATGATACCACAGTACTTACTGACATAAAATAAAGACATGACTACTTATGCATGTAAAATTACCTTTGCAGAGCTAGGTCAAAAGTAAGTACGGAAACAAAGGAAAATGGGCTTACCAGTGGCACTTGCAAACCTAAGGCTGCACAGGAAGCCTAAACTGAAGAACATACACTGAAAAAATTACTAACAAAAGTGATGAACAGCAAGGAATTTTGTGCTTTTTGCCAGAGATACTTTCATCTGATACTCGCTGCAGAACATAGGTAATAGATAACACTACTTAGCAAAAAAAGCCACATCCTAATTCAGTGGGAGTAAAACCCCACTGGGTAGCTCCTCTGCACATGGAAGCTAAGACAATTCACATCACCTGAACAACCAAGGGACAAGCCACTGCTTGTAGGAAAGAGATAAATCTTGTCCTGCCATCTGGTAGACAGAAGAAAGATCTTTAACAACTAGAAATACTTCTCCCTTCCATCTTTCCATCAAGAAAGATGTTCCTCCAGAACATCTTTGGTAAGGACTTCCTCAATTCCTGGTGCCAAATCCAAATTCATTAGTAAGCATCTTGTTATTTTCAAAGCCCCTGAAATCTCACTAGGTGGGAACAGCAGATCTTTGTCAGATTTTCTGTGCCATCTACTACTTACAGCACTAATTACATTATTTTGCAAAACTCCCAAGAGTAGGTGTATTATCCCTCAGTGCTTGTTCTGTATTTCAGAGGAAAAGCCAAGAGCTAATTCCCCATGCCACTGTTTCTTTCGGACAGTATAGGTTCATTTTCAGGCCAACCCTGGGTGACAATGATGAACAGATCTCCAACACAGTGGACAGAAATTTGAAGACACATTGCAGAAGACCTCCTAAAAAATGGTATGGAGAGTATCCTGAAGCTATTCCCACATGTGCTACACAAGCTTCAGCCTGGAGTAGGAAGAGTTAGTACTGCTAGTACTCACTGATCATGGTGGTGCCCCCTGCTAGCGCTGCTTTTGTGCCTTGATAGAAGTCATCAACAGCAGTCATCCCATGGCAGGGCTTTTGTAGGTAAGTGTTGACATCTATTCCCCCCGGAATAACCATGCGCCCATTAGCCTCTATGGTCTTGACTCCTCCAGGAACAATCAGATTCTCTCCTATTTGCCTAGGCAGCAAGGAAACCCAGTATTATTTTACTTAAACAAAGAAGCACAGGGGACAGAAGCTATTTGAGGCATGTAGGGGAGAGGAACCTAAGGGCCATAGAGAAAGAACAAGGACCACAAAGGAAAGGTGAAGTTCAAACTCCCGCTCTGGCCACCCTGCATAGCATTGGCAGAACAAAGCATCCACTAGCCTGCCTAGCTGGGCTGTCAGGTTACTTTGCTTTAGTGGCCAATAAAGAAGCTGTAATGCACCAGCATTAAAAATTGATTATTTTTTAATGATACCTATCTTTAAACAATTACAAGTATGTACAGTGAACGTCCTCTTGGGACCTCTGGTTTTGTGTATTAAGTTCTTAAATAAAAACAGAAAAACATAGATCAACTATGACTGCAAGCTGGAATTGTAAATATATGGCAGAAGCACAAGCACATCAGAAAGGAGTTATAAATACTTTGTAACCAAGCAATGCAAATTTATCCTTAAAAAGAAATCTAAATATCCTAAGGTACAAGAATACATATTTAAGTGACTCAACACCTTTAATCTACCACATCAGATATTCTTCATTCTCCTCTTCAAGTTAAAACTTAGTGGAACATTTTGCATAGCTGTGTGGAAAAACATTGATTAACTGTTGCCATCTTTTTCCCTTCAGTTCTTCAAAACAGGATATTTTTTATTTTACTATTAAAAATATTCCTCTGTCCCCCACGCTGATAGCAAGCAAATTCCAGATACTTCCAATCATAATACTTTTAGTGTTCATGAACACAACAATGAGTAAATTAACCTTTAACTTTCAAAGCCACATGACATTTTTATTGTCTAATTTGCATGGTGCCAAACAGGAAAAGGTATGGGTCTGTGTGGGAGCCATGTCTCTGCACTGCTACACCATAATGTATTTGGGCTTAGAGATAACTTTAAGGTAGTTTAGGTTCAATTAGTTTATCTCATATTACAGACACACAGTCCTTGCCTTAATTTCCTTTTGTCTGGGATAAAATAACATTTATCCACAGCTAAACAAATATCCCAGACATCTGAGCTGCTGAATCTGTTTCTCCCATATTAAAATGCAACTCCCACCTACGGAGCAAAACACAGTGACTGATTAACAGACGATCGCAGCAAGCCGAACCAAAAATGAATATAACTGTTAATTAAAACCAGAGAAAAAATCAGGGATAATTATTCACATTGGAACTTGGCCAAACCGCCAGAGTTAATAAATAGCCCCTAGAGGTCAAGAATTTGTTTCACATGCTATGCAAAAATGTCACCTCCAGCAGCTTGGCTCCCCTAGTGCTCTGGGTTTTGGCTGGAGGGAAGCACAGCCGTTTGGTTAGCAAACCCACGCCAGCATCCTGAGCAGGGATCTCAGCCACTCAAATCCAAAAGGGCTTACTCGTGAGCGCTGGTGATATCACGGCTTGAAGCTGTACAACTCCATGTCTGGCGCCTAATAGTCATCAACACATATAGCACTGGGAGCATGTCACAGCCTGTTTACAGCAGTGAGGAGCACTAATGATACCATGACAAACAGGGAATTGCGTGTGCAAAAGCCAGCAGCAGCCCAGCACATCCAACTGTGCAAAGAAGTTGCAATAAGCTCCTCTGCTGTTAAAATCTGATTAACAGAAGCATACCATAAGGGACTCCAACCCAGGAGCGCATAGACTCCACACTTGTATAAAGTCAGGTAGCCGCACATATAGTAATGGTGTTACCCTAACTTTCATTACTTGAATCCACTCCCAAGATTTTAATCAGAACAATCTTCAACCTTTGTACAGTGTTTGTGCAGCCAAAAACTGAACTGAGGAAAAAATATTTTCTATGACCAATCTCCTTTAAATATGTCTAAGGTGCAATGGCACTCCAAAGACTACCACACCTTCTGAAGGTAACATTAAAGAAAACCCTCACAAAAATAGAAAATTCATTTTTATTTTCTTCCACAATCAGGATCTACCACTTCCCTATTCAAGAAGACACATTCGCTAATGAAGCTTAAGAGTCCCAAGTTTTCTGATGACTGATGGCTCATTATTTTCAGTGTACAGGTGAGAAGCAACAGCTTATTTGGCAATGGCTGAAGTCATCCAGGCTGAAGTGACAAGGAATGAAATGGCCTTTGCGGCTGATGCTGTGCTATTACCTGTCAGGAGCCTGTCTCATCTCTTGCCCTGGCACCAAGATTAAGGCTGGGAGAAGGCTGATCTTCACTGGCATTCAAGGTTATTTTTATTCTGACTTACTAGAACACAGAATAAGAGGTAATGTGACAGGATTCCTGAATTGCTCACTTGTTAATGCAAAGTGTATGATTATAAGAATGGGGTTCAGTTACTTGTGGGTGACAAAACACAATAGCACAGATAACTATTCCAGACACTGTAAATGACTGAATTGGCTTTTTGATGCACCAGCAACTAGAAGACTCAGGCTCATAGAAAGTTGACGCTGTATGCTACCTTCAGTTGATCAAGCTGGTAAATTCTGTCATACATGAGCTGATTAAAGCACAATGGAATCAGCAGGCTTCACCTCTTCATAAGCTTAACCTGAGAAAGCTGAAAACCTCCCACAGAACTCTGTGGAGTTATTTCTGTCATTATCAAGCCCGGATCTCTTTCAGGCATCTGAGACTCCCTCTAACTTGGCTCATCGCCTGCCCCGCTCTGGAGACCCGGTCCCCAGCCACCTATCCTGCACCCAACCCTTCTTCCCCCTGGTAGGGACAGAGCAGAGGACAACAAACACCAGACTGTGACCTGCCCCTTGTTACAGAGACCAGGGCTCATTTCCTCATGTGGGTAAAAGATGTAGGCAAAATATATTATTTACATGCCAATGGCAATTTAAATTACTAAATATCTAAATTGCTATTTAGATACCAGAGAACTGCCTCTCAGCTGCAGGGTTTAAGTTTCAGCTAGGAAAAATCCACATGCACCACTGCTCCCTTGTACCTAGGGAGCCAATTTGAACATTGATAGGCAGGAAAAAGCATCTACCATCCTCCAAACTATAGCTAATCTTCAAATACATTCAAGGTTATATCTACATTCATCTCTGCAGGATGATCTGCGTCAAAAGAACCTATCAATTTCATTAGTCTGTAAAAGAAACCCAACTATCTATTTTCCAATGTTTCCACTGCAGAGTAAGAAAATTAACCCAGATCTTTTATCTGCTAGCAAAACCAGGACACTATTGCCTACTCTGGGCTGAGTGGTTTCGTATTTGCTCCATTCTGTGGAAAGAATTCGTATTACCAGCAGGATCTGCAGTGGAGAGTTAGGGCATCAGCTGAAATGTGGATGTCTGAGGTTCAAGGTCCTGCTCCAAAGAATCTTGAGCAACATATAACAAAAATTTTAAATATTCAGACACAATGGCCAGTTCTAGCTGGAGAAACTAAAAGAGACCAATCCCAGAAAACACAGCACTTTCCTACACTGCAGAATTCATAATCTGAACACAGTTAGGACCCAAGCCCACACCAGGCTGCCCTACAAATGAGCTGTTTCATCAGAGCAAGACTTCTTACACAGTTTACAAAGAGAGATCTCAGGTCATTTAAATCCAGGAAACTAGGCACAACTCAGGGTGTTAAATAGTAAACTTGCCTCCTTGGGCAAAGATAAAGGCATTTTAAAAATTAAGATCTTTCCTATGTATTCATTATTAATCCTAGATATCTTGGGCAGCGGAGATAATTTCTTGGAGGTGTGGATCCACACATGAGTTCCAGCAGGAGCCTATGCACTTAACAAGGGCAGCTGAAAGCTTGGCATTGCTAACCTGCCCACCAAGTACCACTTCATTTCTAGAATCAAGACACAAAATTCACAGCAGTTTCAGACTCTCAGCATCTCATGCACCTACTTAAATCAGTTCTGATGCTTGTAAGCGTTACTAGGAAATTTGCATCTTAACAAATGAAAGCACAGGAAAACTCAACTAAAATACCTGCCAAAGGGAGCACAACTTGGTTTATTGTTGCTATTGAAAAAGATACACATTCAAAACTTTGTGCCTTCTCCACTTAAAACAGTATGTTCCTTTTACCACTTCTGCAATGCAAATAACACTACAACTGGAAAGAGAGAGATGGCACACAGATAAAAGTGTTCAGAATTCTTCCTGTTCTAATAACCTGAATCATAAATAATGTAAGTAGCCAAAGATATATAAAGAATTGGACTTTTAGTCTGATTATACATTCTTAAGAAAAGGAACTCTGAAAACAAGTGGGTATTTAATTATTTACCAGATAACCATAACTATGTTTCTGTGCATTAAATTGTAGCCTCTGGAGACCAAACTTGCTAGGTCACTAGTGAAAATGTTCAGGAGTCAAGAAAAAGACTTTGATCCTTATGTACATCAGAGTGCTTGTACACACTACATAACTTCATAAAACTTATGTACATCAGAGTGCTTGTACACACTACATAACTTCATAAAACTAGAGACCCTCATCTCCACTAAGCCAAGGCAGGACCAGTGGAGTACCTGGACTTCTCTGTTACTGTTTCCCAGGCTATCTATCAGGAACACACGTTTCATGTTTTTCACCTAAGGAATACTTTCCCTGTTCCTGTATTCTATATCCTGATAAATCATTTATATTTTCTTTCTAATTGTGTTAAGATTTATGATGATGCATCTTTTCTAGCAAGATACGGGACAAAAGAGCAATGTATAACAATGTTGTGGGAACAGAACTTGTGATGCTTTAGTATTAACCAGGAGTAGGTCCCCATTAGCACTGTGTAACACAGGGCATATTTCTGTGCCGTACAATCCTTTAGAGCATGGCTGCATTTGCCTGAGTTAGGTATGGGGGAAAAAAACCTGTAATGGGCCTTCTGTCATACATGAACTCAAAAAATACCCATTGCCCTTATCATTCCTTCTCATGTTGAGAGAGCCTACTTGCCTTGACTGTTTGGAAGAAACTAGAATTGAACTGTTTGAAAAATAAATACCTTCTTACAGTAAAGACATTTTCTATTTATCTAATCTTAGTAAAGATAAAACGGCAGAATTTCATAATTAAACAGTCCTCTATTACAGCCCCGCATCTAGATGTAACCCAGAAGCTGGCTGCAAGATTTCAGGTCAGCATCATCAAGAAATCAGAGCTGTCTATACTAACAGGCATGCAAAAAAGGTTCAGTATTTTAAAAAACCAACTTTATAAGTCCATCTTCAAGGTATAGGTCTGCATAGAAGGAGTGGTCATCATTGATAATTCTTCCACCTTTAATGAGTAGTCGGTCACTCTGGGAGGAAAAAAAAGAAGAAATATGGGTTTGTTGAAATAATAAACATAATAACGTATTGATGATACTAAATAGGTCTTCTACTGCTGAACTATATTATATAGAAAGCCATTATTATCAAAGCATTTACCCTATATAAAGGTCTACGTCAAAGATTCAGGTGGCTACATGGACAGTGGAGAGGAAAACCAGTTTCACTGAGTGTTTATTTCTGACCTTTGGAACGTGAGGCCACATGGTCATCCCAGTCTTTTTTCCTCAAAGCAGAACTCATTGAACATGGAAACACTTAAAATCCTGCTACATCCCGTTTTTACGACCACCTTATTGTACGAAGGCCAAAAAGGGAAGAGAAGCCCCCAGAATAAACTGCCCAATGCTGCAATGGCCATGCTGAGCTCACCTGGGATTCTCGGTACCACTAGTAGAGTAATAGAGCTTGAAGCGGGAAGGAATAAGGTCTGGAGAGGATGCTGAGCCCTGTAATGCAGAAATTCCTGCCCAGGGAAGCTCTTTTAAGCAACATCAGCTCAGCAGGGTCAACTCAGCCACTCCACTGGGGTGACCAAGAGACATGACCCACAGCTTGCGCCTCCTGTACTGTTTTACAGACCAACAGCAGAAAATCTAGTTTCCAGTGGACATGAAGAATGAATTGTCTAATCTGCGGTTCCACGGGTCCGGAGGACAGGAGTGCGGCCTCAAAAGTTACCTGAAATATCACACAAACAGCAGAGAGCTACTGCCTCTGAAGTGCTGGAAAGCAAACTTTTTCCTATGAACTGTTCAAATACCAAGGCCGCTGGGCCACTGTTCACAATAACCACATGTTTTCATTGGTCTCTACTCAAATGGTTACACAGGTTCCAAAAACTACATTTCATACAAAGCAAATGTTACCACTGTATATTCCTGAGAACCAACGTTTGAATTCTTCCATTGAAGAAGTCACACTGAAAATGCCAGCACCCTACCACCTCCTTAGAGACAGGCAAAGTGCATAACTTTAGTTATGGGCTGGGATACAGTTTATTTTCTTCATAGTAGCTACTATGGGCTGTGTTCTGGACTTGTGCTGGAAACAGTGTGGATACTTCAGGCATGTTTTCATTATTGCTGAGCAGTGCTCACAGAGAGTCAAGGCCTTTTCTGCTCTTCACACCACACCACCAGCAAGCAGTCTGGGGGTACACAATTTGTTGGGAGGGGACACAGCTGGGACAGCCGACCCCAACTGACCCAAGGGATATCCCATACCATATGGTGTCATGCTCAGCACATAAAATTAAAGGGCAGGTTAGAGGGAGCTGCTGCTGGGTGACTGGCTTCGCATTGGTTGGTTGCTGGTGAGCAATTATTTCCATTTGCATCACTTGTCTTTATTGTCTTTTATTTCTCTATTTGTTATTTGCCTTTTAATTACATCATTATTATTATTATATTTCAGTTATTAAATTTTCCTTTATCTCAACCCACAAGTTTTCTCACTTTTACCTTTCCGAATCTCTCCCCCCACCCCACTGGGGTAAGCGAGCAAGCAGCTGTGTGGGGTTTAGTTGCTGGATGGGGTTAAACCACGACAAGTATATAAAACTTTTAGAAAGAATTTTGCCAAGTGACTCTGGATGTTGGAAAACTCGAAAACAGCCAGATCATTCTTTTCCTATTCACACACATATTGGGAAAAAAAAAAACAACAAAACCAACACAAAACCCCAAAACATTTATTGTAAATTATTTCCTTGGTACACCACACAATAAACTCAGAATCTCCATTTTGTCCATCTTTACGCTCCTCACTCCAGACTCAATGCCTGGTTTAATTATACGATGATTCACACGCACGTCACAAGTTCCCAGTTTAGAAAACAATTAAACAAGTTGGTATGTTTCTTCACCTATAAAACCAGCACAGTGATACAAACCTTCTAAAAACATACTGGTTAAACAGTGCTAAGGCAGAGCTAGGGGTGTTACAACAACTTTTTGCCAGTGTAACTTCTCAGGTGTATGTTGCATATTTACGTTTTAGCTTGTTCTTGAAAAAATTTGCAGGTTCAAAGCCTCTATCATTCTAGAAAGGCAAAAAGGGAGAAACAGGTATTTGAAGGGGAGAAAGAAGGGGTAAAAGAAATTTTAAACACAATACTTGACAAAAGAGTATGTACTTAGGTGGTCTGAGGCTTTTCTCCATGTGCTGCAGCAGCGAGATGACTTTGTAGGGGACCAAGGTACAGAAGCACAATGAAATATATCCCCATGACCTGCCTCAGATGTTGCTACCCTCTCATTAAAGGATGGAGATGAATGCATGTCCTCAGTCTGGAATGTGCCAGAGCAAGCTCCCTGTTTTCTTCCCAGGCTCTCTACTACAACCTGTAGTTGCAGGACTTGTGAATCAGCAGTAATAAGTTATTGTGCCAGATGCTCGCAGTTGCATCTCCTCACCGTGATGATTTACTACACTGCTGACCACAGAGACCACCATCTTGTGAGCTCTTTTTGAGCTCATTCATTTGCCTTCCTAAACATTAACACTGTCCAATTACAAAAGGCAAGAGCCTATTGATAGGAGCAGGGAACATTACCAGAGTGTTGCATCTGTCACTGCTAATGAGTCAAAAAATCTGCATGTTCATCAAGATGCTTTACATTTTACTTCTTTTAAAACAGCAGAAGATGCATGATAAATAGATGCAGAAGTAATAAGCTATGAAAATAAGACAGAAGAAAAAAAATCAAGCAGTAGTACAGCCCCAGAAAAGTAACTGCAGACATAAGGATTTTGTATTTTTTTTATATACTTGTACATTTATAAGTGCCAAAACTAGTAGCAGAATAATCTGAAACTAAAAATGATACGAATACAGTTTCAAGAAAGTACTCTATTATATGAGTTACCCATTAAATGAAGCCACAATTACACTTCACAAAGTATTACTAAATGCTTACCTACAAAGCCTCACCGTATTCAAAATTTCAGTGTCTAAGAAATTCTGGTGAAGAAAGAAAACTGCACTTTATGGATACTTCAAATGACCTAATTCTTGACACCTTCCCATTCAAAACTGTTGCAAAAGGGAGCATGTCCTGCACCTCAGCTGGCCTGTGGCTAAGGTTGTCCCCAGCCAGGAAAGGGAAACACAGGAGACAAGCTGGCCAAAATAAACCGCAGTCTTGGTTCTCCCCAGGTAGTCTGCCAAGCCATGAGGGAGGGTGCCATGGAGCCTTGCCCAGCGTTCATCAGCATCTGATAGATGTGGAAACACCTCCAGCACACATTTCCATCCCAGCAAATCAGCAAATTCAGAAGTAAAAGGGCTTTGTTGGAACTTGTCCCAACCAGCTAAAGCTGCCAGTGTGTCTGTAGGACGGATCGCTGCAAGCTAGGAGCACAGAGTGCCTTTACACAGGTGGTGCTGATGGGCACAGGCAACCCAGGTGGGGTTTCAGTGCAATGTGGGCACCCCAGCAGCAGTAGGCACACAGTCACTGCCATGCACCCTGCTCTGGACTAGGGTGGCCTGTCCTTAGGCAAAGCAGCGGTACCACATGCTTGTGTGTACCTACATGTACAGAGGCATTTCCATGAACCCACTGGAAGAATTACACAAACAAAACTGACAGGAAGCCGCAGGTTAAGGTTGACAAGATATTTGCTATATTCTTCATGAAATAAACTTTCACACAAACCCTTGGTCGCATGTGAGCATTCATTTCCTGCCATAGCCTAAGCACAAGCTTCAGGGAAAGGCACAGCCCTGGCCTGAAAGCAAAGGGTCGGTGGCTACCACCCTGCACCACTGCCACCCATGGATGCCTGGGTGCTGCTGCACTGGTTTAGGTCACTAGTGCTTGCTGCAGTGAAATGCTGGATAGAAATCTGGGCACACACAGGGTCTGTGAAGCAGGTTAGCCTCCCCAGGCACACAGTCCAGATGTGTCTGGTCTGGGGCCATTTATTATTTAGGTGCCCTGCTGTCAGATAGGCTGCTTGCAGTTTTCTTACCAAGTGCCAATTGTCCAGGAAACCTAGGGACCAAAGTCCTCTTCTACCTGGACAATATTCCAGGCTGAAGGTGCTCTCTAGCACCCTGGAAAAAGTAGGGGCAATAGAGGGAGAAGTCACCTGAAGCTCATGAATTAATCACACAGCACTGGCCCATATTTCTCCTTCATAGCTGTAAACCCCTGTAGGCAGACGCTTTCTTTGCCTAGCTCTCAGCTGTACCCTCAGCCACCTGGGTGACCTTTGGGTGCTCTCACAATGCAAACAACAGTGTGCTCATTACTCAGCTCAGGAGGTGCCTTTATAGGGCGGCTGCCACCTTGCTACCCAGCTAACAGATGCCTCAGGCATGGATGCCCTGCCTGCTGAGCCTCAAGGGCTCCATACCAAGTTTTCAGCGCATTGCCTGGCACAAGAATTTGCCAGCCCAACTCTTCCCTCCAGCCTGCCAAGGACAGACAGCAGGAACATGGCAAAACAGAGAGGGGGTATTATATTGAACATATAAATTGAGCAATTCATTAGGTGCCAAGATTCAAGGGGGAAAAAAAGACAAAACTGCTCTCGTAGATGTGGGAGGTGCAGAAAGGCACTGTACATCCATACCACTGCTCAGCATTCACTGCGGAGGATGGGAGCCAAGGTGATTTCTCCTCCACCCATCACTGCTGCACTGATGCAACTGCATCAATACAATGCGTTTGCTTCTGGGTTTTGTGCCTGGCTGTGACACAGCATCAGTACAGCAACGATGCTTATCTTCTATCTCCCTGCAGCTCCATTTTACCAGCTCTGTGGCACCTCCCGGCTCAGCTCGCTGCTGAGCATGATACAGCTATTCCTATTATCCACAGCTCTTCACCTTCAAACCCTCCACACTGCTTTCCTGGTGAGTTTTTGCTAATCACAGTCTAGCTTCTCCTGCTTAATCTGGCAGCAAAGCCACAGAGCTTAGTCTGTGACATGACAGCAATTTTCGTGGCAGCAGAAGGAGACGCCACAAACTCAGCATCATTTGCTGCAGGAGGAGGGGCTGGCTGCTCAGACACGAGGCGGTGGCTTTGCTCCCTTACAACTATTGTTTGCGTTGCAGTACAAGCAACACGAAACATCTGTAAGCTGGTGAATGGGACAATTTGTTCAAATTGCCTGTTTTGCTGGGTTTTTTTAAATGAGCTTGGTTCAGCTCTTGTGAAGCACGTCCATATTTTCATACGCTCCCAATGGTAAGAGGCCAGCAGAGACAAGCAGTGTCTGCATCAACCTGCTGGATAACGAGCCTGATGCCTGCTGCGGTCCCCAGTTCTGCAGTGGGCTCTGCACAATGACAAGTGAAGTCAAATTCCCTTGGTCTATAAATCACTCTCTGCTCTGGGCTATTTGAAAATATGATCCAAATGTTAGAGCTGGAACAACTGCAAAGACATTTAAAACTTGCCTTTTTTTAATTCATCTACTCCACTCAGCACTAGAGATATCTAAAAATACTACAAAATTCAAATACGTTTTTTATACATGAAGTTTTCAATCTGCTTCTGGAACTACTAAAAACCACAGTAGCAGAAGAAATAAAACTGCCATCTTCTGACATAAGATTTGCTAAATAAGTATTATTTCAAATTGGTGCGGCATGTCAAAATGCAATGCAGCACAAGTTATAGCAAACCACACACTTCTCTACAGTACCTATAGCCATGGTACTGCACCTGCAGGCACCTTTCAGAGAAAACCACACCTTTATCATACAAAATGGAGTTGGGGGGGGACCAAACACAAAAGGAAGAATGAATCTGCCATTATGTATACTAGCCATACAAAAAGATTCAAAGAGATTTCAATAGCGGTGTTTTCATCAAATAGCAACATCTGTCCGGATTAAAACTCCAATACGTGCTATTACATTCTTGCTTTTCTTCCACAAATGCAATGTCTACCTATTACATTCATCTCCAAATCAGGTAAATCATATCTTTTTAACTATTTACAGTTTGCTTTACAATTTATCTGCAATTAACTTCAAATAACATACCCAGCATATGGGTTTAAGCACTGCTTCATTCTTGGATTTGGGCTTTTACAAGTGCTGCATTGCAGCTGTTGCCAACTGAAAAAGTCTTTGCAACACTCTTAGTCCCAGATTTCCCAGGCCTAAAGGAGGAGGAAACACTCAGCAGTGATTTCATCCTTTGCATAATTCTAAGGACATACTAGAATATACCATTGTCCTTACATCTCCAGAGCAACAATGGCTGTATTCTTTAAAATCCAGATTAGTCAATGGCCCTGAATATCACTAAGGATTTTATGCTAAATAGCCATTTGAAAACAGTTTAAATTCCAAATCCACCTGCATTTCCAGTTCTCTGGTTTAAAAGACATCAGATTAAACGCAACAGACATAAGAAGGTATTAAGACTACATTATCACACTTTCAGCTAAAATATTCATCTTTACTTTTTAGAGAGACAGGATCCTTTGTTGCTAAGGCTTTAAGAAGTCCACTGAGAGTTAGAGAAGACACGGCATCCCCAATTTAGAGGGAAGGTTCAAAAGACACAGGCTGATGTTTGTGTTCTCCTTGATTATCCAAATCTTCACAAGAAGACTATTTGCAAGGAAACAGCTTCTCAGAGGCAAAAGTCCCACTGGCAAACAATGGAGGGAGACACTTGACACTCCTCTGTGCTTCTGTGCATTTCTTACTGCAGAGTTATTTCCCATAATATAAAAGTGATTTAATTTTTTTATAT